ACACATCATCAAAATAAAGAGATAATTTGTTTGCACCCCTCTCTTGTCCTATCATCATCTCTTTCCAACACCCTGCCTCAAGAGCACACCCTTTAGTGAGGGGTACAGGGGGAGCTGTGACCACTGAGAGTTTTTAGGGATGGAGCAAGAAGTAGCAATTGGGAGTTGTGGGCTAGATTCAGCCTTCCTTCTAATTTTTTCAGCTCATGGGCTCATTGTATTCCCACAGTTGTGAAAACACAACTTGCCTGTAAACGTCTTCATGTGCAGTTTCTCAGGGAGCCACAAGGTGAGGATGTAGCTCCGTGAAAGCCTCTTTCTCAGCAGGACTTGGTCACTCTTCTCTTTGTCCCTCCCTCAGTCTTCTCCCTCCTCTCCATGGTGTGCTCATCTATTTTTTTTTACTCGTTCCTTAGTTGGTTCATACAGAGTTTGGGTTCTGGAGTCAGACAGTCCTGGACTGACTCTCTTGGAGCCTTGGTTTCCCCATCTGTGAAGTGAGGATAGAGGCCCTGCCTCCTGTGGGAACCTGGCACTCACATGTACGGGCGAGACAGCGTGTGTCAGAAGCCCACGTGCAGGTGCCCCTTGCCTCAGTGGTCTGCATCCGGCTGGTTATGCTGTGGACATGCCAGCCTGTGTGCAAATGATGTGTGTACATGGCTATTCATCCCAGCATTGTTTGTGATAGCAAAATATGGGAAATAACCCAAATGTCTGTTAATAAGGGACTGGTGGGATAAAATAGAGTGCATCCTTATAGTGGTGAAAAAGAAAGAGGAAACTCTCCATGGATTGGTTAGGAATAATAATAAAGAAAAGCAAGGTTATGAATATTGTACCCGTACACTTGGACACCTTTATGTGAAAAAAAAAAAAGGGAAAGGATGAAAATAAATATTTGTGTTGGTCTGAATAAGCATCCAGAGACAGGAGTGATACACAAAAACTAAGACTATGCCTGTTTTTGTGGGAGTTTCTAGTAGTAAGTATTCTGTGTGACTTATGTTAGAACTGGCTGCTTTTTTCTCCTGTTTGGCTCCTTTGTTCCTTGTAAGGTGACCGTTACACTGGTTCTGTCAACGTCCCCCATGGCACTAATGACAGTAGCTGACACTTGGTTCACAGTGTGCACCAGGCACTGTCATAAATGCGCTGCAGCACTGGCTCATTTTAGTGTAGGAACGGGGGATAAGAGTGGAGGGAGACTCACGTCTGTAGTACATTTTACATTTGAGACATATTACCTGTCAAAAAAATGTTTGGGGCTGGCCGGTTAGCTCAGTTGGTTAGTGCACAGTGCTGATAACACCAATGTCCAGGGTTCAATCCCTGTACCAGCCAGCCGCCCAAAACAACAAAATGTTTTTCTGGTTAGTTCCTGCCCTATGTGGCAGTCATGAGAATTAAGTAAGAGTACATGTGAAGTGCATGTTCTTCTCCAGGCTCACCTCTGAAGGCTGGAGCCGCATGTGCCCAGCCAGGTAGGGTAGGACAGGGCCCTCTTGCACTCCAGTATGGGCAGGCACAGGGTATATGTGGCGCCCACCCAGGCTGTGTTTCCCACAGCCACAGCCACTTCCGCCTTCGCAGACTCCTCTGCCACCACCAGCACCACCTCTTGCTGTCGCTTCACCTCCTGTCTCTGAGGAAACAGGCTATTTCTGTCCAGGCTGAGCCCTGAGGTCAGCCCGGGTGCACACCAGGCAGCTGCCGACATTCTGGGTGCTGCTGGGTCCCTCGCCTCCCCTTTTAAGTCCTCCCAGAGTTAGTCTTCCTCCTGCAGGCCTTTCAGCCCCCAGCTCCAGTCCCCAGTGCTCCCAGCAGCAGCTCTTGCTGGCACGCTTAGGCCTGGGTGGTCTCCCTCTGTTTTCCCCGAAGCTCTTGGGATTGGAAGGGTCCTGTGTGCAGGTCCTATGTCCCGACTCTTTCCTCCCTCTCCTGCCTGCAGCTGCCTGCTCTCTTGCCCTCTGTCACCTACGCACATGCGCTGTGTGTCACTGCCGCTGTTACCTGCTGAGGTTTCCACAGCTTCCCTCAGTTACAGGTTCAGCATAACCCAAGCTACCCTACAGGGAGTCGCTGGTCTCTCTCTCTTTGGTCACTGGCCATACTTGGAATGAGAAGACCGCACCTGTTCCATAGCCTGGGTGTGGTATCTGTGCTTTGAGAGGGCTCTGCCTTCTCCGCCAGGCAGAGCCAGGCCTCATGGGGAGCATCCTTCCTAGGCCCAGCCGAGACCTGGGCATGCCCTGACTTGCTGTTCTTTAGGGTAGAACAACGGTCAGAGGCAGACCTGAGCTGCCTGCTGATGGGGACGTTGTGACAACAGAGCCACTACAGGGAGGGCCCAGCTGGGCCTCTTACCCAGTGGGGTTAGGAAGGGACAAGGCGAAAAGGTGTCTTAGGCTGGACCCAAGCCTTGACTCTGATTTGGGCCTGCATTGATCCTCCTGCGTGACTGCAGCTGGGGTTGGTACCGGCCACTATAAAAGCAGAGAACAAAATGATGTGCTTCTGCGTCCCCTTTGGAAGGGTCTGGGGCCAAGGAAAAGCTAGATCTCAGTGCTCCTCTGAGGAAGTAGCCATTATTTGTTTTCTTTTTCCTCTGGCCAAAAAAATGCCTGACTTAATCATTAAAAAGCAAGGGTTCCTGGGTGCAGATGTAGAAAATTTTAATTTTTTCCCCCCTTCCTGTTTTGTAGGGAGCTGAAGGCTTCAGAGGAGCCCTGACCTAGGGGCAGCTCAATGGCCCTGGGTGAAGAAAAGGCAGAGGTGGAAGCATCTGCAGACACAAAGACACAGTCCCACAGGAGGTGGAGCTGTGGAGAGCAAGAGGCAGACATCCCTGGGCCCGTGAGCGGGGAGCAGCCCCCACGCCTCAAAGCTGAGGGAGGGCCTGTCTGCCCTGTGTGGGGGACCGAGCGGCTACCTGCCCCTGCCTGCTGGGCTGGGGCTGACCCAGGCAGCCCCTCTGGAGCTTATCAGCCACAGGCCAATGACACCAGAGGAAGGCCAGTAGGTGATGGGCCTAAGCCTGCGCTTGGTGGCCTGCTTCCTTCTGCCAGCATGGGGACTGGAGACCTTTTGTACTCTGTGGGAAGCCAGGTAGGTCCTAAGGCAAATGGGACTATAGATTGACCCACTGCTGTCCTTTGGGAGCATGGTCCAGCATTTGATCACCATCTTCCGTCCCTTCCCAGCCACTGTGCAGGCTGGGGACCAGAGTAGCCTGGGGATGATGATTTCTCTTTTGCGATGTCACTTGGAGAACTGGGCCTCAGGGCCAGTAGGGAGCTCTGACCATGGCGTCTCCTTTTGCTCAAGAGTGTGACTGGTGATCTTTCAAGGACCAGGGATGGTATGGCTAAGAGCCTGCTGCCGGGGGGCATAGACCAGGGGAAATCTGACAAGGGGAGCCCTGTCCTGTTTCTGACTGGGTGATCTGAAGGCTTCAGGGGGCCCTGAGGAGACTTGGGAAAGGAGGGTCCAGGGTTGTGGGCTCCTGGAGCACTGACACTAAATCTCCTTGGGACCCAGGGGACCAGTCAGAGCCTTGGAGCCCTGTGCTAGATGGCACTGTCCCTGGTTAAGGAGAATTTTGGGGGCCTCTCTGACCCCAGGCAGCCTCTCCTAGTGGGAGTCATATGGGCAGGGAATCCTACCATGTTCTGTGAATGCAGGCAAATCACTGAATCTTTCAGGCCCTTGGTATGATTGGGAAGGTGACCTGAATGACCTGTCCTTCCCAGCTCTAACAGCCTGTGATGTTCTGCCTGCTAAGGCCTCTCGGGAATGGCTTTGATCTCAGCGTCATGTGGCATTGGCTGCTGCATGCTGCCCCCACGCAGCCCCATCCTGTGAGGAGCCTCTGAGCATGACTGGGAGAGGAGAAAGGCAGCGCCCCACCTGCCGAGAGCACAGGGTGGGGGGAGGCTCTGTCACCTGGGAGGCAGGAAGCAAATAAGCAAACACAGGAATGGCCGTTTCATGAGTCTGAGTCTGGTGCTCATTAAGACAATGCCTGTTCTTTGTTGAACTCTCACCATGTGCTTTTCACACAAGCTCATTTCATCCTTACGTCCTGAGGAGGTGGTGCTATTAGTGTCTGCATTTCACAGGGGAGGGAAGTGAGGCTCAAAGTCATACATTCCAGTAGGGGATGAAATCAGGTCTTTCTGGTTCCAAAGTCTGTGCTCTTAACCATTGTACTATCCTTCCTCCCTTGGGTGAGTTCTTCATCGAGCAGATTAAAGATTCAATGGGAAGAAGCTGAGACAAATGGCTTGTTTTGCCAGTGTTCAGTTACCACTGGTGTGTGAGCCGAGCAGCATGGGGTCTGCTGGGTTTAGATGTCTCCTGTCAGCAACAGAAGGATCGAGCATTTTGTCTGCCCAGGACAAGCGTCTCAAGGGTCAGGCAGTGTATTCCAACTTCAGCATGACAGAGCCATCTGCGTTCTGCTCGCTCACAAGCTGAATAGCTATGGAGGAAGGACTTTTGAAAGGGCTGGGGCTGGGCATCAGTTTGGGGACGACAATGCTGCTTCCCAGAGCTGGCCGAGTCTCCATGTTGGCCACCAGCAGCTCACACTCTTCGTCTGCTTCTTGCCTCAGGCAGCAGACTTGTCATTTTGAGATCTTTCCTGAATACCATCTGGGCCTATGAGAAAACTCTTGAGTTGTCATCTCTGAAAACTTTGGTTTAATATTTTCACTTGAGTGCTTTTTCTTCCTTTGTATCATTGCAGATGGAGGAGACCAAGCTTTCGGCCTCTGAGGAGCTACCTCAGACTCTTCATGTCCCCAGAACTACAGTTGTGTGCTCAGGACATGATTCTGATACCGAAGATGACCCATCCCCAGTTGATTCGCCTCGGGTGCTGGACCTCAGCCAGCGGCCCGACATCTCCGGTTTCCCTTTCCCGTCACGGTGGAAGTCTGCAGTGAGCCCGGGGACCGCTGCTCCTCAGCCTTCCAGCTGTAGCGTCTCTGCCTCCTCCACAGGCAGCAGCCTCCAGGGTCACCAAAAGAAGGCAGAGCCTCAGAGTTGCTCCCTTGCCAAGGTCTCCTCCTCCCTGGAGCTGGTTGTCCCCCAGGCACCCTCCTCTGTGGTGGGGCCAGGACCTCAGCTCCAGTGGTCGCCACTGCCTGTGTCCTCTGGGGGTGATGCTGCTGGGCTGGGCAGGAGGCGCCTCTCCTTCCAGGCCGAGTACTGGGCCTGTGTGCTGCCAGATTCCCTGCCTCCTTCTCCCGATCGCCATTCCCCTCTTTGGAACCCAAATAAAGAGTATGAAGACCTGCTTGACTATACTTACCCACTGAGGCCTGGACCTCACCTCCCAAAGCACCTGGACAGCCATGTGCCGGCTGACCCTGTCCTGCAGGACTCAGGTGTGGACCTGGATAGCTTCTCTGTCTCCCCAGCAAGCACCCTCAAATCACCCACTAATGTCTCCCTGAATTGCCCACCAGCAGAGGCCACTGCCCTTCCCTTTTCTGGGCCCAGAGAGCCAAGCCTTAAGCGGTGGCCTTCTGGAGTGCACCAGAAGCAGGGCAACATGGGCTTGGCATCTTGGAGCAAGCTCGCATCTACCCCCAGAGACCTAGGCAGCAAGAATGCTCCTCGGGATAGCAGACAGCCAGCCCTAAGGGGCGTAAAGGACTGGTTACCCATGGACAAGCGCCTCGAGGTGGGCTCTCCCCAGCTGAGGACATGGAACAGAGGGTGGCCCTCTCCCAGGCCAGAAAGAGAGAAGGGGGCTGACCAGAGTGTCCGGCACCCTGCCTGCATGGAGCCTGGATGGAAATCAGAGGAGGAGTTGGAGAGTGAGGACGAGTATCTTGCCCTGCCTACTCGGCTGTCACAGGTTTCTAGTTTAGTTTCGTATATAGGTTCCATTCCCACCTTGGTGACCCTGCGTCCTGGGGCTGCCGAAGGGCAGAGCTCCCTGGAAGTGTCAGAAAGTGACGGGCCGACTTCCCTCCCATCAGACTCTAGCCAAAGCCAGCTTCCATCGACAGCCGCCCTGCGAGGGTCTGGGGACCCTGAGGGCCAGAACCACTGTTTCCTGCGCTCCTTGGCCCGTGCTCGGCACTCTGTAGGGGAAGGCGGTCTGGTGAGCAGCCAGGCCCTCGGGGGCTCCTCTGGACTGCTGAAAACACACACCTCCTTGCCAGCTGTGTTGGACCGGTGGCCATTCTCAGACCCAGATGCTGAAGGGCAGCTTCCTAGGAAGGGAGGAGAGCAGGGAAAAGAATCGCTGGTACAGTGTGTGAAGGTAAAGAGGCTTTGTGTACAAGGGTCTCATCTCTTCTTTCCCCAGGCTACTACTAACACTGTGAGGAAACTGGTGAATGCTGACCAAGCACTTTTTATGTGCCAGGCACTGTGCTGTACCTTATCTTATTTAATCCTTACAACTCTTGCCAGATAAGTACACTATTCTCATTTCACTGGAGAAAAAGGCAGCGAGGTCAGGTAACTTGCCCACTTATAATTAGCAAGGACTAGAGCCAGGAATCAGACCCAGGCAGACCATCCACAGAGGCTGATCTCTTCACCACCGCCCCTGGCTGCTTCCCAGCTCAGAGGTGTTCTGCACAAAAGGTTCTGTGCACAGATGCCTTTGGGAAACTGGCCTAAGCAAAGGTGAGTAGCTTCTTGAAGGTAGGACTTCTCAGAGCTTCATTTGCCAAAGTGGTGTCACTCTGCAAAGTTAGGGGCATTGGATGTGCCGTTTCCTAGACTTCTTGGTCACTGAACCTTCTTTTGTGGACCAGCTATTACCATCTGCAGGCATAATTAATACTGCATGGAATGGGGTCGTCAGGGTCAGGCAGATCTGAATTTGAATCATGTGTCTTTGGAATTTTGGCTCAGTCTCTTGAGTTTACTTGTTTATAAACTGTGGATCACTGCCTCTTTGGGGTGTTGTATGGATTAAATGAAATAATGCATGTCGAGGGCTTCACGCAGTCCCTGACTCATGATGAAGGTCCAGGAAGGTGACTCTCCCCACTCCAAGTGTCCACTGCCCTGCCTCCCCTGTGACACCAGCACTGCCGCGGAGCAGATGGCCTGTGAGCCAGCGCGTCCCAGCCCTCAGGGAGGGCTTCGCCTTCCTGGCTGTTACATGGATGGTTTTAATTGTCCTGTGAAGCAGGTCGGACAAATGTTATCGTGTGCCCTTTTGTGACAACAGATTGAGATACCATGAGGTAGTGTCATTTTTGGCTATAGGTTCAGGTTAGTCATTTTATTAGTCATTTATTTTACCTTTCCTGTTTCCCACAGAAGCCATTAGATAGTAATGGTGCTGATCTGAGAACTGGTTTCCATGGCAGGCACACCCTTTCTCGGCTGTTCCCCATCCCTGATCTTCCCTTGGCTGCTCCACTCCTACCTCCAGGGCTGGGTTTTCTCAGTCTGTCATTTTTGGTGTCACCTCAGGCTGAAGGAGACAGAACCCAGTGGGGCTTTTCATTGCCCTAGCAGAGGGAGGACTAGAGTCATGGGGTGGGGACAGGCCAGGGAGGAGGAAAGGGGGGACTGATGCCTCAGGGAGGGAAAGCTCTGGAAAGGTGCACATCTGTCTCCCGAATCCCCCTGATATTTTTAGCCTTTTGCTAGTGTAAACATCAGTTCCATCAGTAACACCATGTGCTCTTTATTCGTCTCCACAGACATTTTGCTGTCAGCTGGAAGAACTGATCCACTGGCTGTATAATGTCGTAGATGTTACACACCACGGGATTCCACCCAGGTCCAATCTTACAGGTCTCAAGTCTTCTCTGCAGCTTTACCGGGTAATATGTGGTCCTGGCTTCTGGCTTGTTCACTCAGGAGAGTAGTGGCTAAATTACTTGATTACAAAGTAAAAGCTCAACTGATTCCTGGTGTGTTATAGCTCAGTTGACTGTTTACCTGAAATCTAGTCAGAGGCCCTTTCAAATTCTTAATGCTGAAAACTTTATAAAATGCATGAGTTGTTTCCCAGGCCAAATAGAGTTTGGAGAAAATACATTATATTTATCTTGAACCAAAAATACTGGGATGGCTGGTTAGCTCAGTTGGTTAGAGCGTGGTGTTGTAACACCAAGGTCAAGGATTCAGATCCCCATACCAGCCAGCTGCCACAAAACAAAACAAACAAAAATACTTTATGATTTACAATGTAATTTTCCAGATGTCTCAGGGATTTATAACTATAGGCCTGTGTTATTTATTACAGAGCCACTAGTTACATATGACTATTTAAATTAAGTAAAAGTAAAGATTAATATTTTTTAGTTGCACTAGCCACATTCTAAGTGCTCAATCACCACATTTGTCTAGTGGCTACCACATTGAACAGAGCAGATATAGAATACTTCCATCTTCACAGAAAGTTCTATTGAACTATGCTGGTATTTAAGGATCTGAGTTGAAATTGTACTGACTCCAGAATATACACGGGGCATTTTGATGGTATTTAAACAAAAATCTAACATCAGTTTGCTTGTGTACATGGGTGGGGGGCTGTTGTTTGTTTTGTTTGCCTCCTTTTCATTATGCTTCTGTTATTTTAAAATACTTCTTTGTGGATTTTAGATAACTCAATTCTATACTATGTATATTTAGGGTGATTATACATTCTAGTTTGTGCCTTTTATTCTGGCATAATTAGTCCACTTTCATTCTCAGGAGTGTCCTGAATTGGAGGATAAATTGTATAGTTGTTATACCCAAGCATAACATTAACCTTGGCTGAGCTACTGACTTCTAGCCCATCTGGTTGGCCAAACCTTTCTAACTTCTTCATGAAGGAGCAGAGGCCATTTCTGTGGCCTGAGCCTGATGCTGGTTTAGACAGTGTTTTCTGGACAGTTCTTTGAGTTTCTTCAACCTTGTAACCTGACCATATCTTCAGCAGAAGAGGGCATGATTTCCATGTGCCTGAGCCAGGGCTGCATGACCCATGGGCCAAGCTGACTCAGAGCCTTGCTGAGACCACACCCTGGCTGGGAAGAGGAGGGAAAAGCCTCGCCTGGGCCTGGGCTGCAGGGCCAGCTGCTCCACCCTTGGTGCTGTTTCCTGCAGTGTAGAGAGAGGTTGTCAAGGGTTCCTCGCCCAGCGTTGAGCTTGAGGAAGGAGAGGAAGGCTGAGTCCCAGGGTCCTCTGTGTGCAGACCCTGCATGCATGCTTACATGTGTGCCGGAGGCCCAGAGACAGTACATTGCAGGGAAATTTTCCTGTTAGACTTATCTTGATGGCCTTTCCTGGCCTGTCAGAGCAGGCACAAATAGAGTAACTCCATTCCCTCTGTTTTATCCCTCATACCATCCTCTGTGCCTCGACTTCCAGGCTAGCCAGAGCAATCATTTTGCTCTGTGGGTAGAGCTGAGATCTGAGCCGGGAGTTACTCTTGCACATCAGTGAAACCTAGGCCTCTTGTGTCACCTACACAACTGTGTCACAAAGGGGGATGGCACTGTCAACCCCTTTCCTGTACAGAATGCTGCACAGCTCATGCATATGTATGAGTTACCTTGACTCCTGCTTAGATCAAGACCTCGTATAAGTGTATGTGTGTGTATGTATTCACTTATTTTACTGTGACTCATTTTCTCATATACTAGTAGGGTCAAGCCAGCATTAAAACTACACGGAGTACCAGAGAATAAAATAATAAGTGTAGGTACAGGGCAAAGAAAAACTGAAGACAGGAAAATAGTAAATCCAAGAGTAGAATGATCACTTCAAAATGTTAAGCACGAAGTTCTGCACCCTGGACTAAAGGATTTGACTTTACACTTCTCAGCTGCTAAAGGAACATCAAAAACAGTCAGCTACAAGGCTTGGTAGCTGCTGGGGGAAAACAGATGAGCTGCTTAGGAGACTTGCTGCTGCTTTGATGCTGGGGTGATTACCCTGGAGGTCTGCATATAGTGAGGACACTGAGATAGAGGCAGCAGCTCCCTGTGGTCAACTTAGTGGCAAATCTCTTGTGGTTCTTGCTTATCAGGCCCATTAGAATAGGATACAATTTGTTTTGAGAATCCCCTAACCCCTGTGAGTTACAGAGAATCCCATGAGGAGGGAGACAAGAAGGAAACCCTGACTCCAGCTGTTCATGGGCCAGCCTTTGCCAGGGGAAAGAAAACGCTTCTGACGTCAAACTGAACAGAAAAAAACCATTGACTGTTTACCTTGGGCTCAAAGAAGCTGAAGTTAAACTACTGCACTGTTCACTTGGGGGATTCTGCAGACTGGGTGGGATGTATCTTCCAGTCAGGGGGGGAATCAACTTGCTTTGCATGGTGTTTTGAGTAACTTTACAAAACAGTACTAATGAAGCTTTTTCTTCTTTTCCTGATATGCTTTAAGCAATTTAAGAGAGATATAGATGAACATCAGTCCCTGACGGAGAGTGTCTTACACAAGGGGGAGACTCTTCTTCAGTGCCTGTTGGATAACACCCCAGGTGAGATGCTTGAGGTTTTGAATTTAGCCAGAGCTCAGTATGTCTCAGCAGCAGGCCCAGGGACCCACACCATCCCTAGGAGGAGCCAGTACCAGTCCCCCCCCACACGCACTGCCTTAGATTCCCATGACTGGCCGCTTGCCAGCTCCTCACATCGTCATTGCCCCTGCAGACCCACGAGACAGTGGCAGTCATCAGAGCAAGCCCATTAGAAATTAGGCACCGAGGGGCTGGCTGGGTAGCTCAGTTGGTTAGAGTGCTGTGCTGATAACAACAAGGTCAAGGGTTTGATTCCTGTACTGCCAGCCATCAAAAAAACCCCAACAACAACAAAAAATGAGCTTTCTAATAGAAAACTTTACTTATAAAAAAAAAATGAGGCATCGAGCCTGCAACAACAATCTTTTTTGCTTCTGCTTTCTTATTTCCCTGGTGTTCTGGGTGGGAATCCTGGTGTGAATCCAGCTGTCCTTAGTGTGTGGCTGGGGTAGTCACTGGTAGCCTCAGGGGTTCCCCATCTTACCCAGCTCAGGTCAAACTGTTCTCTGGTTATCTGCTTTGCGTTCTGCTTTGGAGAAGGATTTGTTTCAGAAAAGGATTGAATTGATCAAAAGGATTGGAGAACAGTTGGTCTGTTCTCAGGGAATGGACCAAATGAAAGATGAGAACCGATGAGAGGGGCAGGGTGGCGGTCGCGTGTAAACCAAGTTCAAGCCCTTTTTGTATGATGAGTTCCCAATTAGGAAAGTAAAAATCACAGACTTCAAGAGCACATCCATGCTTGCCAGCTGCTAAGGCTTTCTAATCATCATTGTCCCTAGGGGGGAGGGGATAAGATGTGCAGGATAAGCTGGAATGCTAGGTTAATCCTTGAACTGATGTACTTCTGCCCCTCAAAAGCAGCCCCTAATTTCCTGTAAGACTTCACACAACCAAGTGCTAAAAGAGCCCATCTATATTATGCCTGTTTCTGTTTGGTTTTGGTTTTTCTTTTTTTTTTTCTTCAGTTTGTGTGTTGGAGTAAGGTGGGATTTACACTGGAAATCACACCACATAAGCAAAGCTGGACAGGCACGGTGGGGCTTGAGAGGAGGCACTTTCCTAACTAGAGTGGTGGGCAGGTGCATATGGGGGAGGTGGCACAGAGCAGGGTTTCTCAACCTCGGTACTACTGCCGTTGGGGGCCCACAATTCCTTGTGGGGGCTGTCCTATGCACTGCAGGATGCTTAGCAGCATCCCTCACCCCACTAGATGCCCACAGACATCTACAACAGTTTGACGATCAAAATGTTTGTAGACATTGCCAAATGTACCCTGAGAAGAAAAATCACTAGAGCTGAGAACCATGAATAGTCAGAGAGGTTTTGATGGACAAGACCACTGAAGAGTTTTCGGCGGGAAGCGATTATCCAGTGTGAATTATGTGAGCTTTTTGCAATCTCCTGCCCTATTAAGGCTGTTGTTTTAGCTCTTCTGGTGTTCTCTTGTACTGTTTTTAGGTTTTGGGGGTTTTTTTTTGTTGTTGTTGTTAGCCAAAACAACAGCTTTTAGGTTTTTTATTGGGGCAGAAATTCAGAATGCCAAGTGTCCTTGCTACTTGTAATCACACTAGCATTTTACAGAATACTTACTATGGGCCAAACAGTGAGCTGAAGCAGTTGGCGTATCAGTTTTTCTTCATCTAATCACAGCCCTGTGAGATGGATACTATAGTTACTCTCATCTTAGTTGTGAATCTGCCTCAGGCCACACGAGCAGTGACAGCTTGCCTGAGCCCCTGTATGCTGGCTCCTTGCTGCTGTCACAGTGTCTGGAGGCACAGGGGCCTGAGAGAAAGGCAAAGAGCTCAACTGCCAGGAACCTCCACTCCTCATGGAGACCACATGTGAAAATAGGCCTTGTAAAAGCTACAGTTTTTCTGATCTTTGTTTAAAAATCAATTCAATGATATTTTCCAGTGCCTTATTGGCAATAAGAGCATCCCACTTTACCCTTCTCTCAAAAGGGGTCTAGAGGTATTTTACTGGCCAAAGTAAGAGGCTTCTGGGTTTTCTGTGGTTCTCAATTATATGTCCAGGCTCTTTCAGGTTGACACAGTGCCTTCCCCATCCTCTGCTTGGAATAACAGGAGCTTGGCTATTTTGTGAAAACCACAAGTTCCCCTTGACACTTCACACTGTCTGTCTCCTGCTAAGTGCACAACTTCCTTTCTTCCTCCAGGAGCAGAGTCAGGAGAGTCAGCACACAAACATCCCCCCAGCCTCTTCAGAGCCTGCCTTCTTACTCGGCTACAAGAATAACCTTAGGGATGTGAAGCCAAAATCTACTTCCCCCTCCAAAATGTCCGTCTCAGGTTCCTGCCAAGGGCTTCCATGTGCATGTGGAAATCTGGCAGGTCTTCACTACATTTTGACCAACTTAAGCATACAATTGGAGGGTACTGTCTCATACCCAAAT